CTGACTGGCTCCTCCTCTACCCTCCATTCACAGCTGCTGCTAGCATGGCTGCTGTTTCCCCAATCACTCCTGGCTCCCCGCCTCCCCCGGCCCTCTCTCTCTAGCGTTCATCCCGTTCATCATTAGAGCAGAGATAATAAAACCACATTATATATATGGGTGTCAGATGGTGCTGAAGCATGGTTGTTCTAGTTTGAGATGGCCTCTTTCACTGCTCTTCTAGATGGCCCAACATAGGAGGGTGAATTCTACAGCTCAGGACTTAGATCTTTAAAAAATAACAACAAACACACCTTTAGAAATGTTTAGTGATGACAATCTACAAACACATACTTCTAGATCATTGCCGGCTTTGTATTCTTTACATTCCTTATTTCTCTTTTCTTCCCCAGTCTTCTGACAGTGGCCATGATTACTAAGGGCAGATTACTAGCTCTCATTTTACTTCCTTGACCTCTGGCACATGTGACTAGACATGTGATCACGCACATCATCTCAGGGGAGGAAAATGCCTTTCCCTGAGATCTCATGAGATTACAGATGAGATTTCCCAGCAATGCTCTGCTGATGACAAGGCAATCCCAGTGTGCATTGCTTTGCCAAACTGAAGTCATTTTTCCCTTTTAAAGCAGGAAGTGAACGCTCTGCAAGTGTAAGTATTTCACAATCACAGCATTTTACACCTGACATGTCTGTCTTATTGTTAATCCTAACTCCCAACCTAATCAACCAACAAACCTTAACCTTAGTCTAAATCTTAAAGCGGACCTTTACACTCAAAAATCAAATTCTACATCCAGAAGGATTGTGTATATGCGAAGTTGTTGGGTAATGACTGCAGTTTGCCAAAGCAATGCACACTGGGATTGCCTTGTCATCAGCAGAGCATTACTTAGATGACGTGCATGGTCACATGTCCTAGTCACATGTCTAGTCAAATGTGTCAGTAATCCAGGAAGTAAAGGGAGAGCTAGTAATCTGCCCTTAGTAAAAATGGCTACTGTGGGAAGAATGGAGAGCAAAAGAGAAATAAGTAATGCAAAGAATACAAAGCCTGGAATGATCTAGAAGTATGTGTGTGTAGATTGTCATTACTAAACATTTCTAAAGGTGTGTCTGTTGTTATATTAAAGATATGGGTAAAGGTCCGCTTTACATTTGAATCAAATCTCTAGTATGCAAGGCTTTTATCATTTATCTTTTTTTTTTGTTTGCTTTAGCAAACTCTGTTACAGATTCTCCCCTTTATATTTCCAGGAAGATAATGTTTTCTTTCGCATGCCTCCTCAAACTGACTGCTAGGTGGAAGGATCTGCCTTCATGATTAGCACTTGAGCCCTCTTAGTGCTGTAATAGAAAATATCATCCTTTTATCTGTGATGCATCTTTCAGTGTACTTCAGCAAATGAAATACTAATACAGTGGATGCCCGTCATTCGACTTTCAGCTCTGTGTAGACATCCAGAAAAGGAAAACAGGCAAGCACATAAGTAGAAAATTACATTTTAAGGGCAGTTAGCAACCCATTCATATTTTTAACAGTTTTAGAAAATTATAGCAGCTGCAGATTGAAATGGAAATAGTTTTTTGTTGTAAATAACATTAAACAACCTTTATCATTTTTAAGTGTATTTTTTCTTAATTCTCCACCCTGAACCTAACCCTACACTGACTCTAGAAATTGTATACGATCACTTCAATAAATAATATGCCATCACAGCGATAATTCAATTATTGTGAAATTAAAAGTTTTAACACTTCCATGCTAAAAATGTCATGTGAGAAAGTTCTGGCTTTCTTATTCACAATAAAAAATATTAATCAGAGCCGAAATCTCCATGCCATCATCACATGATCTGGGTATGAATATACCAATGCCACACAAACAGGTCTTTAGTCATGTGACTGTTGCTGATTCCGGGATGCAAGCTGCCAAGGCACCAGCTGGATGCATTGTCTTACCATGTGCCAATGTGTTTTTCTATGGCTTGGAGCTTTCTAAAATTCTGTCAAAGTTTCTGTTTTAAGATGAGCTGCAACCTAAGCCCTATAATTTGGGTAAATGACATGATACAAGTATGCAGCAAGCAGGCCATAGCACGCCTTTCTCTTTCTACTGCATTCTAAGTTGTATAATGCAATGTTATCATACAAGGCCTTCTGTATGGAAAAATGTCTCACAATTCTTTCTTTTACATTATGCGTCCATTTTGTCATTGATTCATAAACTCTTTAAAAAATGTGTTTTGAGTCAGTTGACTCGTCTCTATTAATGTAAGACTCGGGCAGCTGAAGCTACGTACAAAGTTAAAATATGTGAATGTGAGCTGCTTTACAACCAATTTGGAATTCTTCCAGCCGGTCTTGTAGCCTTGGCACCGCAGCATTGCTAGATTGGTCAGCGCTGCAAATCAGCAATACAGCTTGGTCACTGACCCACCTCCAGCCTGCTGACTGGGCACACAAGGTCTATCAGCATAATGATGAGGCTATTGTGCTCTCTCCTCCTGTCTGGGAGCTCCCAGTATTAGACTGTCAGCACTCTGCCATGCAGTACAGCCTGATGGACTGAAAATATCAACACTTCCTGTCAAAGTCCTACCACACATGAGATTACAGGAAATTTATATAAGGGCAGATGTAATTACCTGTATTATCTGGATTTAAAAATAATCGTATGTGTGTTCAATAGTAGAGCAGGGGAAGGCTAGAACTGCTATCAGATTTACATTTCTGTCTGGGTCTCTGTTGCAGATGTCCCCTCATTTCCTGTTTGGTGATACCATTGTGAGCAGGACAGGAAGTGAGTACATTTCTCTGAGAAGAGAGTCCAGATAGCATTGAGGAGCAGAAAGCAGTAAAAACACATCAGGAGTACTAATACTTCACCACTATATGTAGCGATACTTCACCACTCTATCTCAGTACTAATACTTCACCACTCTATGTACTAATACTTCACCACTCTATGTACTAATACTTCACCACTCTATCTCTCGGTACGAACACTTAACCTCTCTATGTACTAATACTTCACCTCCATCTCTCAGTACTAATACTTCAGCACTCTATCTCTCAGCACTAATACTTCACCACTCTATCTCTCAGCACTAATACTTCACCACTCTATGTAACAATACTTCACCACTCCATGTACTAATACTTCCCCACTTTATCTCTCGGTACTAATACTTCACCAATCTATGTACAAATACTTCACTACTCTATGCACTAATACTCCACCACTCTATCTCTCAGTACTAATACTTTGCTACTTTATGTACTAATACTTCACCACTCTATGTACTAATACTTTACCAATCTATGTACTAATACTTCACCACTCTGTCTTTATCACCACTCTACTCAGTTGGCTTGGCATACATTCTAATGACACTTTAGATTTGGATAGAGTGAATCAACTTTTTTTTCTTTGTATTTTTTATTTCAGAGGGTATTCCTGGATGTTAGAGTTGACAGTTTTATCTGCTCTATTTGGCTTAGTGAATATTGCCAGTGGAACAGAACTTGGTAGGAAATCGAGGATCTTATGGCTTTCACTACAACAGGCATAGAGTGAAATGTTCTCCAATGTTGTCCCTGTTTCAGTGACACTGTCTAAATGTGATTTCCTCTCACATTTAAAAGCCTCCCTCATACTGCCTGTTGTGTCTTAGGGACATGAAATGAAGGTGGTTTCCCCAAAGGGACACACGCATACACACAAAAAAAGTACTTTATAAAATACTTTGCCTACAGAC